ATGTATGTCAGAGTCCTGCAGGACGAGCTGCAATTCCCTGAGGACAGAGCGATTGACCAAGATACTAAGAGCTTGATTAGAGGGGTGGGTGATACTTTTTGTCTATGATCGCAAGTCATTTATAGTTGCCCCCACATAGCTCTTGCAACGAAATCCTGCACTTAGGATGTGCGAGCCGCGGATCAAGCGGCACCCGTACTTCTCCATGATGTGAGTTTATCACGAGGCCAACTTTCCTGATCACTGATCCCTGATTTCCTCCCCTTCAGTGACTGGTCGCACGTGTATTACAAGCGCTATATACGTGAGGCATATTCGCTACTGCAATAGCTAGATATGATGTGCTTACTTGGCGTTGTCCCTCTAGCCCCCTATATCCCACCTATTGACCCATCCAATGCCAGTGATACCCAGAACTTCGACGACACATTCCTGGATATGGAACCAGTGATTGACGACCCGAACGACCAGGAACAGACTGATACAGACCGTGACCAAACGGACGCTGAACCTACAGATGGGGAAGGCGAGGATTCAAATACGACGCCCTCACATTCCCGTAGCCCATCAGTGCACCCAATTGACGAGAGCGTCGATGTCTTTGACGGGTACTCGTTCAAGGGCCGGCATTCTGTTATCCTGGACGACGACGACGACGATGACGCATCTGGAGAATCTGAACGGGAAGAGACCGATGAGGAAGAGATACCAGAGATTCTTGCAAATACTGCGGAAACCCCGCTGCAACCAGAGGTCGAGGAGGCGTCACCTGTTGTTAATGAAGCGACTCCAGAACCAAAGACTCCTGAAGCGAGACCACAAGTTCTACCAGAGGAGCAGCCTGCCGAGATCATCGCTCAGCCGCAAGAGGACACTGCAACACCGATTGAGGAACCTGCAACGCTAGTTGAGCCTATCGCACCCTTAGAGCCGACATTTTCTCCTCTCAAAGAATCACCATTGCCAACTACTCCCACGTCGCCGCCTCAGGAGATTGTGCCTATTCCACCAGCCAAGGATGTCAAGCCGAAGGTCACGAAGCCAGCCGCCTCTCGGCCGAGCGCCCATCGTGGAACGCGAAATCGCCGAGAGAAATCTGGTGTCCCTGCGCTTGACCGCTTCCTTTCCGATGGCCCTGATGAGGAAGAATGTACGGAGAAGGAAGAGGATGAGGACTGGGACTTTATTGAAGCTGGAGATGGTGAGGACCGCAATGGCACCAAGGGCACAAGCTTGTTTGCTCGGGGTGTGGTCGACCGATACCGGTTGGCCGTATTCCGCAAAGCATCAACCCCTTCGCAACGGATGGGTGGACGCTCATTTTCTGGCATGTCCAAAGAGTCTGACGTTCGCGGTACCGACCCGGCAGAGTCACCTAGTCCATCAGAGAAGCACCGTCGCGGACGTACACCTGCGTTGAAGTTCCGAAAAGCACCCAGACAGTTCCTCCGTGCAAAGTCTCCGCCATCATCATTTTCCACCAAGTCAGGTTCTACTGCGAAAACCCTCACTCCTTCCACATCTGCCACGCTATCATCGGCATCAAGTGGTGGCCTTCTATCGCCTTCCGTTTCGGGCACGAGTTCAACAGCAATGTCCCCATCGCTCAAATCGAAAGAATCAGCGACTTCAGTCGGCGAAAGTCTATCGTCGGATCAGTCAAACGGTGATACGATACCAGAAACCCCCCTTTCACCTGAATCGACGAGGAGAGCCCCGGCCGCTCACACCGAGGAGCCCGAAAAGCTTAAGAACAAAAAGCTCAAGAAGTACAAAGAAGGAGCAGAGAAAATGCTGTCTCTCTTTGCTTCTCCTCGTCAATGATCATGATCCAGTTGACCGCAGGACCGGTCCCTCTTCTCCTCTGCTGCTACCGCATTTTCGCCAACTCAAAGTCAAACAATAATCTTGTATCCTTCATCTCAAGACTCATTATGCATCGCCTCACAATTACTTACTAGCACTTTCCTTTTTTCATTGTCCTTTTTATATCATTCATCGAGGATGGGCCGCGAACTAGAATCGCGACCGGTTTTTTGCTCCATTACATATGGACTGGGTGCTCGTTTTATGTTTCTTAATTGATTGCGTCCTTCTGTCGTTACTTGCATTACTGTTTTGCTCAGGATTTCAATCGTATTGCATCCCAATAATCGGTCGGTTTGCTACAAGTTTGCTATTGACATTTTTTCAAAGGCGTCATTTTCAATACCCTTGGACGCTTGTACACAATACCAACCTGAAGCGACAAATTACCCGTAATCGATCAACTTCTGCGAGACGTGTCACGATGTACATTTAACGTGGGTCTTTGATCAGACCCATAGACATTAAATTGGCGTATAGCTTTCGATTGGCCGTCGCAATTTTGTCGCCACCAGCAGGAATTCAAACGTTCACGGAGGTATATGAATTTTGAATTGCATAGCGTCTAGTGGTCAACAAACTGACAAATAGACACGGTACCACCATGGTGGCCTCTGTACTGTAATAAAGTTGCCGGAACACACAATGTCTGCATGTATCTGACGGCAGGAATAGAAAGGTCGATCGAACCTTCCCATGAGAAGCAAGCGGCCTGGACCCCGGTCATCATTCATCATCCTATTGTTAAGTATGAAGAATATCAGCAATTTATTGGGTAGCGAAATAACTTAAATTAGGTACCATGGGACTAATAGACTCCGTGTCGGAGTCGGCGACTGTTGACCCTGGGAGATACAAAGGCTAGAAACTTATAAGTTGGTGCTACCACAGAAGGTAGAAGAGACAGCTCACTCGGGGTTCTGCTCTCAAATAGGCTACGACGCCCCCAGGAAGGCTGCTTGGGAGAGGAATCTCCAGCAAGAGGCTTGCTAAATCTTGCCAATTGTGTCGGTCGTAAACTCCCCCCAACTTATATGGTATGAGGGCGGCCTTCGTGTCATCGGATGACCGTTGAAGCGTTAAACCAACTATGGACCGATCAGTAGCCCGAGAACAACTGCTGGTGATGAGATCGAAGTCATCTAGAAGACTGCAGCAAACTAGCTTTACATGGTTTGGGAGAGAAATTAAGATACGCTTGTCGCGTTTACTAGAGGACGGCTGCACAACAGATATCATGATGGTCGTGGAGAGACGGGCGAGTAGGCAGCGGCACTAGCGAGTACTTAGCGTCGGCTGCGCGACCTGAACAAAAGTTTCATTTTCCGACGGCTCGTGGTATGCTGTAATCGAGGATGACTACAATGGACCCCCCTACTGGGACCAGAGCCATAGACTAGACGCAGTCCTTTGTCGAGTCATCCACCTGGATCTTTTTCGTCTTCCCCTCACCAAGTTGATTGGCAGTGTATGCCTGCAATGCTTTCACTGCAACCTGCCCAAATGTCAATTTTAGACAGACGGAGAAATAGAATACTGCAAACGAACTTGATCGGAGACTGATCTATGTAACATGTGCATTTCCAGATATCCCAAAATCCGCCCGGAGCAGCGGGGTAGTCTTCGTCCTTGGTAACATACCCCGTGAGGTTTTGGAGCATCACTTCGAGCGGAGAATCGCCAAGCTCGCTACGAACGGAGAGAACTGTGTCCGTATTTGAAAAACAAAGGAGTGATAGAGGTCGCGGTGGTGGGAGAGTAAATGAGGCAGCCATGAGCCAATGGTACTAGTAGGAGAATGTCTCCGCGGTAGAGGAGGAATAGTTACGGCAATACTGTTAAACTGGAGAGATCTGGCGCAAGTGCTTCATGCAGGAGGTGACATAAACAGGAGCGCACGCAATTGAACTACACACATCAGAACGACATGGCTCGGTCTGCCACTTTCAAGTCATCCTCGGTCATATTAGAAGAGCCAACAATCAAAAAAGTCATCAATAAGTCCTCAGCGAGGCTATCAGTTTCAGAGGGCCCGAGTCCTTAGCTTGCATGCATTCTTCTGACCTCCGCCGGCACCATCATGATTAACATTTTTCATTTGGTGGTGAATCCCGACGATTTTGGTCAGTCTGTCGAGAATCTAGGTTGGCACGTACACACCTCGGGGATATATCTTATGTTTCTTAGATGACCCTTGCGGCGCGAAGGGGATTCCTTTTTTCATGGACAGACTATCACATAAAAAAAGAGGTTTTGGCGCAATGACTGGGCCTAGTTAAGATGGACCCCCGAGAATCTATGCTCCCAAAAATGTTGCCAGCAGGTTTCGAACCAACTCCAAGAGAAACAGATTTTGACTCTGTTGCGGTAATAACTTGGCTAAGACCAGTTGGATGTATTTCCGAGGAAACCATCCATGAGTCAATGTCAAGGTGTGTTCCGATAGAAAAAAACCGTCGTTTGGCAAATTTTGACACTGCACAGCCCAAGAGGAACAGATTTTGACTCCGTTGCGTTAACCACTTGGCTAAGACCAGTTGGATAGACCTGCGAGGAAATCATCTATGAGTCAATGTCAAGGTGTGTTCCGATAGAAAAAAGCCGTCATTCGGGGGTTTTTGAACCTGCACAGTCCAAGAGAAACAGATTTTGACACTGTTGCGGTAACCACTTGGCTAAGACCAGTTACATGGACCTCGGATGAATCCATCCATGAGTGAATGTCAAGGTGTGTTCCGGAAAAACAACTTGTCGGAGGGAGGTTTCAAAAGGGAGGTTTCAAACCTACGCAATCCAAGAGAAACAAATTTTGATTCTGTTGTGGTAACCAATGTCAGGTGTATTCTGATGGGAAAAAAAAACCTTGTTGTCGATTGGACAGATTTTGATTCTGTTGTGGTAACCTGGCTAAGGCCAGTTAAGATGGACCTCCAACGAAACCATGAGTGAATCTTGGCGCATTCCGATAGAAAAAATCCTTATGATCGAAAGGTTTCGAACCTGCACGGCATAGTCCAAGAGACACATTTAGATTTTGTTGTAGTAACCACTTGACTAAGACAAGTTAATATGTGTCCCCAACAAAACCATCCATGAGTGAATGTCAAGGTGCGTTCGGATAGAAAAAAACCTTGTCACATCAGCAGGTTTCGAACCTGCGCAATCCAAGAGAAGCAGATTTCAATTCTGCTGTGTTGACCAGTTCGGCCAGGACGCTTCCCAAGTTTGAGATGAGCCTCCGAAGAACTGGTCAAGGGAAAATCATATTTCAAATCTGGAACACCTAAGAGCAGATTTCTAATCTGCCAGTTGGCTATGATAAGATAGATCTTGAAGGATTCGTCCATGAGTGAATATTTGAATGTCCAAGGCATGGTAAAAGGAAAAAGATTGTTGGGCAGGTTTCGAACCTTCTCGACAGATTTCTATTCTGTCACCCTCACCACTTGCCTACGCAGTCCAAGATACACAGATTTTGATTCTGTTACGGTAACCACTTGGCTAAGACCAGCTGGATGAACCTGCGAGGAAAGCATCCATGAGTCAATGTCAATGTGTGTTCCGATAGAAAAAAAACTGTCATTCGGCAGGTTTTGAACCTACGCAGTCCAGATTTTGATTCTGTTGTGGTAACCACTTGGCTAAGACCGGTTATGACAAGCCTCCGAGGAAGCCATCCATGAATGAATGTCAAGGTGTCCCGGGAAAAAAATTTGTTTGTCGGACAAACCTACATACGCAGTCCAAGAGAAACAGATTTTGATTCTGTTATGGTAACCAATTGGCTCAGACCTCTTACAATAAACATCTAACGAAACCATGCATGGGTGAATGTCAGGTGTGTTCTGATAGGGAAAAAAACCTTGTCGTCGGTTCGACAGATTTTGATTCTGTTGTGGTAACCACCTGGCTAAGACCAGTTGAGATGGATCTCCAAGGAAATCATGACTAAGGCGCATTCCGATAGAAAAAAATCTTACGATCGGCAACTACTTCGGCCAGGACGCAGTTGAGATGGCCCTCTGAGGAAACCATTCATGAGGGAATCTTCAAGGTATATTTAGAAAAAAACCTGTCGATCGGCAGGTTTGGAACCTATACAGCCCAAGGGAAACAGATTTTGATTCTGTCGCGACAACCACTTGACTAAGACCAGTTGGATGGACCTCCGAGGAAACCATCCATGAGTGAATGACAAGGTGTGTTCCGATAGAAAAAAACCTTGTCACATTAGCAGGTTTCCAACCTGCGCGATCCAATGGAAACAGATTTCAATTCTGTTGTGGCGATCGGCAGGTTTGGAACCTACACAGTCCAAGGGAAGCAGATTTTTATTCTGTTGTGGTAACCACTTGACTAAGACAAGTTAATATGTATCCCCAACAAAACCATCCATGAGTGAATGTCAAGGTGCGTTCCGATAGAAAAAAACCTTGTCACACCAGCAGGTTTCGAACCTGCACAGTCCAAGAGGAACAGACTTTAATTCTGCGGTGTTGATCGGCAGGTTTGGAACCTACACACTCCAAGGGAAACAGATTTTGATTCTGTTCTGGTAACCACTTGACTAAGACCAGTTAATATGCATCTCTAACGAAACCATCCATGAGTGAATGCCAAGGTGCGTTCCGATAGACAAAAACCTTGTCACATCAGCAGGTTTCGAACCTGCGCAGTTCAAGAGAAACAGATTTCAATTCTGCTATGTTGACCACTTCGGCCAGGACGCTTCCCAAGTTTGAGATGAACCTCCGAAGAACTGGTCAAGGTGAGGGAAAACCATATTTCAAATCTGCAACACCCTTGAGAACAGATTTCTAATCTGCCAGTTAGCTATGATGAGATAGACCTTGAAGGATCCGTCCACGAGTGAATATTTGACTGTTCAAACGTTCAAGGCGTAGTAAAAGAAAAAGATTGTTGAGCAGGTTTCGAACCTTGTCGACAGATTTCTATTCTGTCACCCTTACTACCACTTGACTAAGACTGGTGTCTACGAGTCATGTATTGACAGCAGAATTACGGCGGATTAGCAGTCATTTGCCAATGCAAAATTAAACAAAAATACTACTTTGCGTTTAATTCGATGGACACAAAAATAAGAATAAGCGAGTAGGGGCTGGCGCCGAGAAGTTAGCCAGTGTCTACAATAATAATGAGTGTAGTATGTACATAATAGCGTAGATCTCCCATAAGTTAATTCAGGGCATCCAGACTCTCCCGTAAGAGTCTTACCCGCTCCTCAACAGCATCCAACGTTGAAGTGATAGAATCCACCTCCGACCTCCAATCACCGCCCACCTGACTCACAAGTACCGACCCATCACCAACAGCCCCACCACCAAAAGACCCAATATTACCTCTCGCCCTCCCAACAGCCAACTCCTCCCAAATCCGAGAAACAATATCCTGCACCCACTTCTCCCTCTCCTCGGTCCTCTTCGCCTCCTTCCTTCTCCCCGCTTCCTCCCTCTGACCCACAAGCATCAATGTCCACAGATTACTAAACACAAGAATAACAATAACGAAATATAAAATCGTCATCGCCGAACTCTGTTCCCAAGCTTCCTTGACAAGTTCAAGCGCTCCAAACGTAGAGCGCGTCGCAACGCCGTAGGCACCGTCAAACGTCTCATACGCCCATTGGAGTCCACGTCTGTTACGTTCGTGTTCGCGTGCCTTACGGGCTGCCGCGTCTGAGATGCCCGAGGAGCCACCGAAGAGAGTGGGGTTCATGGATTCGATTACGGGGCTGAGGGGCTCGACGGGTGCCACGGCTGTTGGGTCTACGCCTGCTGGGATGAATTCGGATTGGTGTTCTTGGATGTACATCCGCATGGCTTTGTCGAGGTCGGAGTGGTATACTTTTTGACCGTCTATTGCTGACTTTTCGATCAGACCTTTGCGTATTGCGAGCGTGAGCACAAGATGTTGTGAGAAGAGAGAATGGCAAACCTTTAATGAAACTTCTCCCAGTCCAATCTACTTGCGTGGTGACGATCACCCGTGTGGAAATAGCGCTTGCCCACATTAAGCATGTCTTCGTCTTGACTGTGAACACGCCTCCGCTAGGTACGTCGGGTGTCTTCGTCGTCGTCAACATCACGACGTGGTCATCAAAGTCACAGGTCAAGGTTTCATCGTGGATCTCGCACTTTGTTTGCTTCGGGCCGACGCTATTATTCAGGGGCTTAATATATGACATATTCCGCGCCAAAAGCTTCAAGTTGTCGCCTGTGGGAATCCAATCCGATATCTGCACATCTGAATGGGAAGCATTAGTACCAGTGATTCGCGGGTAAAGTGAGATGCCACCCACCCATAAGCTTCTGATCCACCCGCATAAAATCCTTGATAAACCCACTCGCAAACATCAGGTTATAAATCTTGTCCGGTGTCCCAGGTAATACTGTTTCTAGCGCGATCTCATTAAGATGCTGTGCATTCTTCGAGCATGCGCAGTGCGTGACTTTGTTTTTGTTAAAGCGAGCCACAGGAGCTGCTTCCTTGCCTCCGCTCGTGACCAGGGGACCTGAAACATCAGAAGTACTAGCGGGCGAAATGATGTTGCCAGACGAGCCGGTTTGACTTAGAGTATCATCAGGACGGGAGAGTCGCCAGATATTGGCGATCACGTCATAAGTCGTATCACGGGAGAGGAACGAGGCAAAGGTGTATTTTGCCTGTCGGGTGGTTATCTGGATGGCATTGGGGATGACAAATGCTGTCATCTTCTTCTCGAGAGCGGTTATTTCGTATATTGGGATTGACAGCTGTGGGGGTATCATTTAGTTTGCGAGAATGTATAACTGCGTGTAACGTACGTCGGTGATCCACCCGAAAATGTTCGCATGGAAACATATGTGGTTCTCTGAGATGTATATCCGGCCTTGGATGAGGATCTCGCGCTGTAATGCGCACCCATAATCTACAAGATATGAAGCAGATATTTGACATTTTCAAAATGGGACAAACCTTCAATGAGATAATCGCCTTCGGGAATACTAGGGAACAACTCGTGGAAGTCTGCATTACGCTTGCTGCTTGCAACGGCGAAACCCGTGACGGGAATATCTTCATTAATATCAAGTTCGTCATCCGACCCCTCGCTCTCTTCGCTGGAAGCAAACGTGTCTGTCTGGCCGTCTGAAAAGTCATCTCGACTGGACAAGGGGTGCCTCGTGCGAGCGCTGGCATCGACAGGACTGGGCATAGACGTCACGGAGGCAGAAGCGGCATACTGCATCGCAGAGCGAGCGGAACCATTTGATCTGACCGTTCCATTGGTAACTTTTTTTGATGCCGAATTTGAAAGAGGAGAAACAGGGGAGATTTGAGAACCAGTATTGGACATGGTGAGACTAGAAGCGGCTGTAGCAGGAGCAACACCAGGATGTTTGCGAGTGGGAGTAGTGAGTGAAGGACGACGCCAACCTTTCTTCTTCTTTGAAGCTGAGCTATTAGCTGAACGGATGGATCTTGCGTCGGCGTCGGTGAGGGTAGGTAAAAGCTCCTGTTGATGATGGGTGCCTCTTTGGGCATGGCTTATTGCGGTGGGTGAGTCCACGAGGCCATTTTCAATTATGACGGCATTGTGTTCGTGGCGACCAGTTCGCCGGTGCGTATCGGAACGAGTATTACTCTGGGAGTGATCGAAATCGAGTGGAGCTGGGGGCTGTGTCCTATTGCGTAGTGACTTCTTTGAGGGAGTTCTATCGACCACCTTGTGAGTATTTGAAGGATGAGTGTTGGTGCGCTTGTCTATAAGGGCTTTCAGGTTCCCGGTGGACGATGCAGGTGTCAGCTGATGAGAGGCTTTGGGTGAGCTGTCAGCGCTTGTCTTCCATTCTTCAGGACGAGAACGAGAGGGGGTTGGAGTTGGAAGCATGTCATCTGTGGACAAAGAGGAGTCACTTGTCATGGGACGAGCAGCGAAGGATAAAGCATGTCTATCTGGGACCATCCTGTCCTGTGAGCGGGCACGTCGATGTTGAGATGTATCAGGAGGGTGGTCTTGCGAAGGAGGATCAGGAAAAGTAGAGAGGGCTGAACGAGGGGAAGGTGGAATTATACCAATTTTGACACTGCCTTTTGTACTAGAATTGTCACTGGCTGGGTCAGGAAGAGATGGGTGTGAAGTATTTTGAGAATGTGGAGGTGCGTGAATGTTTTGACGGGATGGAGCAGTCGTATTCTCTCTTCCGCTCGGAGATGAAG